GCAGCCAAGTTTGCTCTGGAGACCGCGGTCTGGGCAGGGGCAGGCGGCTGCCGCCGGCGGGGGGAGGGTGAGTCCCTTCTAGGCACCTCCGCATGTGCTCCCGGAGCCTGGGACACCTCCCACGCTGGGCTCTGGTCGGGGGAGAAGCCCGGAATAAACAGGACTGCAAGCTGCCTCCCTGTTGTTTGCCAGTCTGACTCAGCCAGCATTTAATATTGGGCCGGGAATTAAAAGAAAAAAGAAAAGTCCCCCCTTTCTTCTGCATCCTTGGCTATTGCTCCAGGCGCAGTCAGCATCATGGTTGCAAAGGTGTGAGGAGAAACGAGGGCTCATCCTTTTTTTCCTAGCCTATTGCCATTCCTCCTCTCCAGCACAGAAGTGAGGTTTCTTCATGGTGGTTCTGGTCCTGCACTTGCTCAGAGGGAGGGGAGTGGGTATTTGCTGGCTGCAGCTGCAGGCTGGAAGAGCTACAGCTATTCTTTTCCCAAACCTGAGCTGTCATTATATGCTAAAGGCTGTACTGAAACCTAAATTGCATATGCAACAAAACTGATATTTGTGCTTCAGCTTGTGTACGAGGGATTGGCTATGGATGTATTTATTCAGCCTGTTGCTGAAATACATGTATGCCGCTGGGATGTAATTTTATGAAAGAGTTCTAAGGGCTGAGGAGGAGTTGAATTACTGTGTGGGAGGAAGAAAGAACAGCTGCAAGCAAGCCCCTGTTACAGGAGTTGGGTTCAGGTTATGTGTTTCACAACCCTACCAAAGCAAATCATAGCTAAATGTAAACCTCAGAGCATCTACAATAGAGTGTTATTTCAGAAGAGTAAATTTCACTCTCTCTTCTCTAACAAAGGCCCTATTTTTTATTCATTAGTTTCTATCTGTGAAAAATCTGTAATAAGGGATACTTCAGAGTCATTCTTGCTCTTAATGAAAAGTTAGTAGTCAGTCAGCAGTGTTGCAAACTGGTTATTTTGGATGTGCCAGTGGCAAATATGACAGCCCTTTGTGACTTTTCTTACTGTGTTGCTAATATATATACCATTGGATTGTTTACTTCAGTAGAAATCCACTATTAAGCAGTTCTGAGCCTTGTTTAATTCCTTTTTTAATTACATTACAATGTGGGTTTATTTTTGTCTTTCTACAAAGTAAAAATGTCTGTTACAGATTAACCCCAGGATATGGTTGATGATAGTGTCGGAAAATAAACAAACGCGTTTGGCCTTTTGTTAAAAAGGGAAATTATTCTGAGCTAGACTCTTCATCTCATTAAATAAGTTGATTGATTGATGCTTATGGCTCTTCCCACTTCTTTTTGGCTTGCTGATGTTTTACCCTAAGCATGTAATCTGACAGCAGATAAGGAGGCTTAGGAAGAAACATCAGATGGTTTGAGTTAGCATCCCTACCCACTTTCAAAATAAAGATGCTGGTGCCATATGTTGCTGTGCTTTGTTAAAACAAATTTCCTCAAAATGGAGCCAAGGTGTATACGTCTCCTTTCAGGAACATTAGTGTGGCTTAATGAAGCACTACTACCATAACTTTTCTGAGGAATAGTAGTGGGAGTCCTGTCTCCCTCTGCTTGGTGCTGTATTAGCTGATGAAGTATTTCAGGAAAAGGAGGATTGGAATAGGCTTACAAGCAATTATGGAGGAAGTCAGCTGGTTAGCACAGAACTCTTGGGTAGGAAAACATTGCATGGTGAACTGGAGTAATTTTTAAAAATAACCTATTTGCCTTCTTAAAACTACTACAGCCCACTGATATAATTAGTAATTACAAATAAATTATTTAAAATCAGTGCATCTAGTAATACCTTCCTAACTTGCTGCACAGTTCATCCTTTTTTAGGCTTTAGTTGCATCAACTCAAGCAGGCCAAACCTTGAACCTTGAATTCAGCCCCAGCTAGAGAAGTCAATAGAATACTTTCACATGTCCTGTCAATAATTTACAAGCCTAATGTCCATTTAAAAATTAATCAATGTGTTTTTCAATGAAATGGTAACAATTTTGCAAGAGGATTAGGCACCACATATTGGTGTTTGTTGCAGAAAGATGCATTTTGTTAATTAAATATGAACATCTTAATTTTCATTTTTTAAAAACTCGGACTCTGATACTGCTGACTGTTTTCATGGGTGCAGGGGTCTGCTCAGAGAAGTCCTGTTGATGTCAGTGAAGATTTACCTGCCCAGAGCACCCTGTGCCAAGACCCTGATGCACATACGTGTATATTTATATCATGAACTTATTTGCTAACCCCCACCCCATCCCCAAGTTGATTAGCTTCTGGTGTAAGCATCATTGTCCAACTGAAATATAATATGCTTCAGGAAGCAAGCAAAGTAGGTCATGTCCCTAAGCCCCCTGCTAATTTTTATGGTTTCATTTTCTCACACTTTTAAGAAATGTCTTCCATTGTTTGAACCTGACAGTGCAGGAGGGAAAGCAGTATTGATAATCTCCCTCCTAAACTAGAAGTGGAACATATGGAGATCGTTTAGTTACTGGACAAAGCTAAATTAATTTCAGGAATCTGTAAGATGTAGCTCTTTTTAGGAGTTATTAGATGTTAACATCTGTAACTAAAAGGAAAGCAGCATTCACTTAAAGCATGCTCCCTATAGTTGGTGTAGAAGATGAGAGGATGCAAACATTCCAGCCTTGAAACCAGTGAGTTGCCTTTGATATTTGAAAGCTTCATATTGATTGTAAAGCAATTTGTTAATATGATATTGAATTACATGCTGCTTAATCGCTTTATTAGGCCAATAGAGTTTGTTGTTTAGAAAGTCTACTAACTTTTAAAGATGCAATCTGCTTAAATGCCACTATGTAATTGTTGGGTCATGGTGTCTACAGTGCAATAGAGAACTATAAAGTTGTAATGCAGGATTTTTATGGCTTTAACTATAAATATTTATATATGCACTTAAGTTTAACTGCATTTTTTGTTGCAGTCAGTGGGACTATTTTCGTATTTCATTTTAAATTTGTGCATACATATTTCATAGTTTCTAGGGTTGGAAGGGACCTGAGCAGATCATCAAGTCCAATCCCCTGCCATGGCAGGAAAGAGTACTGGGGTCAGATGACCCCAGCAAGGTGTACATCTAGCATCCTCTTAAAGACCCCCAGGGTAGGAGCCAGCACCACTTCTCTTGGAAGTTGGTTCCAGATCCTAGCTGCCCTCACAGTGAAGTAGTGCCTCCTGATATCTAGCCTAAATCTACCCTCTGCCAGCTTGTGACCATTATTCCTGGTCACTCCTGGTAGTGCTTGGGGGAACAGGGACTTCCCCAGTGCCTGCTGGTCCCCTCTGACTAATTTGTACCAGGCCACTAGATCCTCCCTCAGCCTTCTCTTGTGGAGGCTGAACAGGTTTAGGTCCTCTAGCTTCTCCTTGTAGGACCTGCCCTGCTGCCCCCTGGTCATGCGAGTGGCCCTCCTCTGGACCCTCTCCATGTTGTCCAGATCCCTCTTGAAGTGCGGCACCCAGAACTGGACGCAGTACTCCAGCTGCAGCCTGACCAGTGTCACACAGAGAGGGAGTATCACCTCCTTGGACCTGAGATGTACCTGTGGATGCATGACAAGGTGCAGTTGGCCTTCCTGACTGCATCTCCATGTTTATCTTGATATGATGATGCCAAGATCCTTTTCTGCCTCTGCACTGACAAGAAGGGAGTTCCCCAACCTGTAGATATGGTGCTGGTTCTTCCTCCCCAGGTGCATCACTTTGCACTTGTCAGTATTGAATCCCATCCTATTCTCATCTGCCTACCCTTGTAACCTGTCTAGGTCCAATTGCAGCCTATTCCTCCCTTCTAGTGTGCCCACATCCCCCCACATCTTAGTGTCATCAGCAAATTTGAACAGGGTGCTACTTACCCCCTTGTCCAAGTCACTGATGAAGAAGGTTTGCTTCTTGTTATCTCACTCACCCCAAGTCACCTCTGCTGGGCCTTGAACCCAGACCTCCCACATGATAGGCAGGAATGCTGCCATACAGCCACCACTGGTGGCTCAGATATTTGCAGGATCAGGATTTATATCTATAAAGTTTGAGATTAAACACTTGTGTGTTTTGGTATTAAACATTTCATGCTTTTCATAAAGTGTGCATTATCTGGTAGGGGTATGACATGGTGTAGCAGGGCACTAGGGTGCCTACTACTGAATAACGGTAAAAGGGGCTTAGCTGCCACTCATTAAGGCAGCAGGTGGGAGTTGCTGTAGCAACTGATTGGGTCAGCTGACCGCCAGGGGGCAGGGCCTGGCCTTTATAACCAGAGAAGGCTGAGGCCAGAGGTTCAGTTCCCCTCTAGTGGCCTCAGAAGCAGGAGCTCTGCTAAAGCAGACCAAAGCAGAGCTGAGCAGTACCTTAGAGAAGCCTGGTGGCTGGAGAGCGGCTGCTTGGCAGTACCGGGTGGAGGGAACCCAGAGAAGGAGATCTGTGAGTGAGGGAGCAAGGTTTGCCTGGAACTTATGTTGGGATCCCGGAGGGGGAGTTTTCCATTGTGCTTGGAAGTTGTGTTTTGGGAATTTAATTGTTACTAGACTGGAGGACCGGGCGAGGCTGTAAGGGTGGAGGCAGCCT